ACTTCTACATCTTAATTCTATCCCATTTAGATTAATTTAATTTATTTGTCTTTCATTCAGACACATCAATAATGTCTCTTTTCTAACAGACTTACATATTGTACCTTCAAATATAACATTCATACAACAACACTGCATTTCTCTACAAGTTTAACAATATTAAATTTTATGACATCTGGAAGTGCTCTTTTCCTTCTGATATTCACTCATGCCTAGTTAAGACTTCCCTTAATCATAGTTTCTGTTTCAGGCACCACAATTCATCATAAAAGTTAGAGAGACATGCTGGTGGCATCTATTGATACAGTAACTCCAAAAAGCATGTTAGAAAAATGATGTAGGAAATTGCCTTGAACTATGTTACACCACTGGCTATGTAGCTCAGTAGTGGCTCTTCAAATAGTGCTGAACTCCTTATTCTAAGCATCTGTCATCTGTTGGGCCTGGCCATGTTAACTGAGTCAGTTGGGAATTGTAGTTCTGCATTATCTGGAGGGCCACAGGCACTCTACTTCTGGTCTGCAAACTGAATAGCAGTGATTCTCTAGGATGTCAGATATGAGCCTATTCAAGTCCTAACTGGAGATGGACTTGGATTCTTTTACATTCAAAGCATTACAGCTAGTCTGTATAGCAGGAAGGTGCACCACATTTCCTTACAAAAGTCAGCTATGGCTACAGCACCAAGCAGATACCTTTGAAGTCAGTGCAGTTTGCTTCTGCAAACTGCAGAGCTACTCAGAACTACTTAGAAGAGTAGGTGCTCTTAGAATTGTATCATGAGTTCATTGGGACACAATAGGAGCAAACTTGATAAATCTGAATATGAATCATGTGAAAAAAAAAAGATGTTTGGTCATTTTTAAGGAAGGTGATAGAGAAGGTGGTAGAGAATCTTCTACAAAGGATTGTAGAGAAAATGGATTGCCTGGATCCTTTTCCAGAAACAGCTTTGGTCACTCTGGTAGATGGCCTTCATCAGGACCTGGATAATGCCAGTAACATTTGTTGGCTCAGCACTATACCCATAGCTCCACTTTGAGTCTGGGATGCATAATCAAGTCACCTCAAGGGCAAATAGCCCGTTTATTCTCAGGAATACAGCCAAGCACACACAGCAACCAGGACACATAAAACAGCAGTAAGATCTAAATCAAAATGGGAAACTCCCAACATTTGACAGATTACACTTATCGGCAACCTTCCTTAAACACACAGTACCCATATTCCACAGGTGGAGTGTGACTGTCCTGGTCCTGTTCTTTGTAGCATTCAGTACCATAAACCACATTATCCTTCTGGACTGCCTACAAGGATGAATGGTTGGAGGAGCCATTTTACAGTGATGGGCAGATCCAGTTGGTGGTGCTGTGGGAGAAACATTTGAGCATTTGGGCCTCCAGCAGGACTTTCCTTTATGCTATTTAATATCTACATGAAACTGTGGGGAGAGGTCATCCAGAGGTTTAGGATGAAGTATCATCAAGATGCTGATGACTGTTAGTTATATATCACCACTAACCTTAGAACCCCTGGACTGGCATCTGGAAACTATGAAGATATGGATAGTGAGAACAAGATTAGATTAAATCCCTTCAAGGTGGAGCTGCTGTTTATCAGTAAACTTTGGGGCAACTTATTTATATTAGTCCTGGTAGTAAGCATGGATTGGGATGTATGGTTTGTGACTTAGAAGTCCTTCTGGATTCACCAATCCTGCTTAAGTCAGGGAGCCTTCACCCAGCTGTGGCTGGTACACCCCCTAGATTCTTACGTAGGCCAGGATGTCCTAGTGATAGTAACTCATCCCTTGATTACCACCTGGCTGGACTACTGCTATATGTTCAATATGGAGTTGCCTTTGGTGATGACCAGAAGTTGCAGCTGGTACAAAACGGTACACAGAGCAGCCTGGTTTACGTCAGGCTATGTCTTGCCAGAATAGAATTACAACTGGTTCAGTTATCTAGAGAGGGCAAGCTGAGAGTCCTCCCTCTCCTCCATGTGGCAAGCCTTCTCATAGTAGCCCCAGTCTCTGGAATTCTCTCCCTTCCAGAGGTAGGCGTAGCCCCTACCCTCCTTGCATTGAGAATTTAAAAATGATTTGATATAATGCATTCTTCTACAGTATTAATTTAGTCATATTGTTTACTTAGATTTCGTTTTCTGCTGCTTGCTTCCCAGAGTCTTTCAGGATTGGGTTTTAGATGCTAATAAATAGATAACCACATTCATCCAATTCAGGTCCTGTAAGGAAAGGAGCTGGAAACAGCACTATCCAACCTTATTAAAAGAGAACCAGGGCATGGAAAATAATCAAGGAATGCTGAACTGATTGATGCAAAAACACTGACATAGTCCGTGTTTCAACTTTGCTTTTTATTTTATGCCAAATGAGGTGGTTTAAAAATGGCCAGGTGGGGTATTTTAATCTGGATATGTACTAAAAAAAAGACACCTCCTTTGACACTGTTCTTCCTCATCTTTACTTGTTTATTTAGCACTTACACCAAGTACTGAATGAAAAAGAAATCTTTCAACCAGCAGTTGGCCTGCTTTCTAAAGAATGAGAAAACATACTCACCTGCCAAATAGTTTGGAAGGGCTGTAACTTGGAATAGAGAATGGTCGTGGCATAAGGTAATTTTGTATGGAATGAGTAGCTGGGCACACACTGAGGCCTCCTCCTCAGGGCTGAGTTAACATGTTCTCCATCAGTCCTTGAGGCAACAGAAACTACATAGGCATAAAAGTGGCTACCTGCATTGGAGATTCCTATCCTGCCACTGGAATGATACCAGCAAAAAGTGCTGTCCTTATTTATTGTATATAGATCCACCCATAATTCTGGTTAGTGTGTGGGATGGTCCTGAGCCTGGGGGAAGCAGCATGTTCTAATAGCCAAATGTCAAGTTTAGCCAAATGTCAAAACTCATTCTCACTTTGTGCAAATTTTTTGCATGGGTGCATTCAAAAAGAGTCCAAGACACTTTTTGGATGTGTTTAGCAGTACTTCAGAAGAGCGCTCAACCCATTAAAAAGCAGCTTGAAAAACTGACAGGCATGGGAGAAAGTTACGTCATGAAGCAGCAAAGAGAGTCACTTCTCCCTTTCCCTTTCTTTGGCTCTGTTCTGCTTCAGTGGGCAGATCTTCCTTGCTGCCACCACTGCTCAACTTCTGTTGAAGGTGATCAATGTCTCCAAGTTGGATGCTGGCTTGGAGACGTGGTGAGTACAGTGGGAGATCCCATTTGGAATGAACTGGACATTTCTGCTCTGCAAAGCACAGAATGACCCTGGAAGACAGTGCCTGGAGATCAGAGATGATGGAGTAGGCCTGCCTGAAGTAGTTAGTAGGTGCTGAGCTGATCCCACTCCATTGGCATCCCCTTAGTGTGCCACTGACAGAATAATTGTTGAAGTGCCTCAGGCTGTATCTGAGGCAAAATCTGTCTCTATAAGGGGGCAAACACTACTTGAACACCAGCACAGCCAAGCATGATTTAAAGTTGCCTTAGGGGTGGGCTGGGGATCAGATAGAGACTATGTCATGAGGACACCACAGAAGAAAGAGTTTCACAAAGCATGTTTGGGCAACAGGTAGATACAGGGTTTTTAATTCAAATTTGTGGGTGCTTTTTTCCCCTGCCTGGGGTCTGAAACAAGAGACAGAGAGAATGAATGAATGAATGAATGAATGAATGAATGAATGAATGAATGAATGAATGAATCTCCAGGAACTTTCC